GGAACAACGTTCAACGACCGAGTCCAAAACTGAAACGTGATAATCGGATGATTGGACCTGATGTACATTTCTGTAGATTGTACACAGAATACACACATCTTTAGATAATCTGGCCATGGCAGGTATACTAGATTAGCGTACATCTATGTTTATGCGTTCAAAACAAGAAAAGTAATCGTTTCCCGGTATTATTCTCTTGAAACACGGCGCTGAATATAGGAAGAAGTAGCCTGTGTTTCGCAATGCTTTCGGCCGGATTGATGTGCAACTGTTACTAATTGCAGGGTCTGGGCTTGGCCAGTCGCGGTGTATGGCCAGTCGCGCTGTCTTACACCGCGAATGTTGGCCTTATGCGAGTGTTCCCTGTAGACAGTCCTGGAGTCATTTTTTCGCACATTCGCACATTCCAGGAGCCTGATGTGCATCTAAGGGTGGGTACTAGTTCAGTCGGACCGGTTTGGACTGGAACAACATACAAGAACCGAGTCCAAAAAACTGAAAGGGGAGAATCGGATGATTGGACCTGATGTACATTTCTGTAGATTGTACACAGAATACACACATCTGTGGGAAATCCGTGGACGACCCAGAAATCTAGCGGACACCGGCATGGGGTGCTTGGAACGACATCGATCGTCCATAGCATGTTTAGATAAGAATACGGACAATTGGAAATAAAGTTAAACTTCAATAAATGGACATATTTCCTGTGACTATCGTCGATATGGTCACCAAGTTTCGGTAAAGGAAGAAGTCAAGTCAAGCACACAGTAACAGTTACAGGCAATGACGCCCGGCGCTGATCATGCATTTCTGTGTGCGATATAAGCGCTAGAATGCTATTTTCCAGAACCATACATCGATATTCTAGTGGAGAAATGCATTGTTTCAAGATTCTATGGAGAAGATATATGCTTCTATTGTATTTTTTTTAGCATTTTCGACGTGATTTTGTCGTCACTTAACCAGGAGGTGGGACTGCGGCGTGGTGCGGATCGGGGCGGTAAATATGGTCGTCTGTCAGGCTTGTTTCGTGATTATTGTCGGGGGAAATATTAACATTATAATGTTCGCACCCCGACTTTGGCCTGGGGCGTCTACTTGAGAGTTGAAATGTAAAAGGAAGTGGGAGCAGTAATGGATTTTTTTATGTTTTATGCTTGTGACGCGCCCTCATTGTATTAACCGTTGCCTAATTACAATGTCTGCACAGTAGGTCTGGCGTTGACCCTTGGGATTGTATTTGTTGAAATATATAAATCTTCACGGACGATTGTCACCTATGGCTTCTTGTTTTATTTTATTTTTTTCGCCCGCCCGCTCCATTATTTTTCTAGAAAAATCCGTTAACCAAGAAATTAAATTGGTGTGGCCTTATATACAAATTCAAACCAAGCAATGGTACCGATAACAATTCTTGGTACGGTTCTATATGCCTAACTCTGAGAGAGACCACTTACTAATAGGCAAATAAGAACCACCTCCCTCCAAAATGAATTTGACAGGAAAAGAAGTGTCAGACATATGGCGATCATGATTTGACCTTGGAAGATACTCACAAGGTCAACGAGATAAATAAAATTCCTGTTGACGCGTGTGCTTTCAAAAATAAGCGATCTGAAATTCTGAGTAGGGATAATATCAGAAATCTCTGTTTCAACCTAAATTTTTATTTAATAATTAAGGCCACACCAATTTAATTTCTTGGTTAACGGATTTTTCTACGAAAATAATGGAGCGGGCGGGCGAAAAAATAAAAATAAAAACAGGTCTAGGCATCCTATTATGGCCCAAAATGGTACGATAGGAGCCATGAAGTCAACACACCATCCTGGTTCAAAATTGTGACAATGAATTTTGAACTTTTAATGATACCACTGCATTGAAAGATGGAATGACTTTAACAAGAAGTATGAAAAGGACTTTTTTGAACTGTTCAGGGCAAAATATGAGCATTTTGCAGTTGATTCTGAATTTTTATTTTTATTTGCAAATCAGAAAAAAATGAAGCGGCGAATCCGTTAACCAAGAAATTAAATTGGTGTGGCCTAAATAAAACACACTTTTAAATCTTGTTGAGGCTTGTTTGTTATGAGTGACTGAATGAAATGAGTTGTCCCCAAGGGATAGAGTTGTACTAACAGAACAGACACCTGTTAGCCCTGGGGGATTCAAGCTCCATCAAAACAGACAAACAAGATAATTAGGAACAAATTAGCAACAGCCTATCAAGTGTCCCTGAGGAGAGTTCATATAAAAAGCCTATAGAATCGATTCAGATACTCATTTATATTCTTGCACAGGTTACACAATGTGTACACATGTTAATATTCTGATATTCTATTAAGTATTTCAAATTCATAACTCATTAACTGAATTGTTGTGTACATATGAATGATTATGCTGGCCGGAAAACTTTTGCTTTGGATTTTAGCTTGTGTTGGAAATGTTTTTTAATGTTTTGCAGTCAATTTCTGTGATATCACTTAAACAATTCAGCCTTCGGGCTGCGACTGTTGTAATATAGTTGTTGTTATAATAAACCATTTTAAAAAATTTCATTCTCAGTCACTTATGAAAGACAGTGGATGGCTGGATGCTATCTGAAACGTCTGACTTTTCAGAGAATTTATGCAGTTGCTTTATCAAGACCACACCAAAAGCCAATGAGCAAAAAAGAAAAGGACTTTGTTCAACCGTTGGGTCCAAAATATGTATTTCATTTGAGCATTTTGCAGTTGATTCAGAACCTAAAATCTTTTTTTTTTTTTTTTTTTGCAAATCAGAAAAAAATGGACAGGGCGAATCTGAAAAGCACAAATTAAATTGGTGTGGCCTAAAGAATGTGATTGAAGATTGAAGGACAATTGCAAACACTGCACGACCAATTTATCCAAATTTCAAACACAATTGCAAGAGGAAACAAAAATATGCAGAACCTAAACTGCTTCCAGGCACATGCAGTCTGCATACCTATTTCTCCTGGGGCGCAATCAGACATTCAAATTCTAAGTAATTTTTTGCCCAAACAACTTCTGTTCCACGTAAAAGATCCTCGGTGCAGTATGCATAAAGCCTAATTGTAGTACATGGTACATTGTGTACATAATTCAGGGATCGAAATTCATTTTTGGGAATAGGTGCACTGGTGCACCCAACCTAAAAAATTAGGTGCACAAAAATTTTTGTGGGGTACACCATGTAAAACAAAACCTATATATATACATGTATGTACAGATCTTACTGCTCCTCTTCTGAGCTTGAATCTGAAATGGGAGCTAACTTCAAAATCTTACACAAGTGCTACAACAAAGATTTATTTTTCTGACACTTAGATGCCAAGAATATCCTGTATACTATTAGACATTTGATATGCACAAAAATACCTACAAAAATATTTGGGTGCACCAGTGCACCCAAAGAAAAAAATAGGGTGCACTAAGGTGCACATGCACCCAGTATTTCAAGCCCTGTAATTTTTACTGGGTAAACGTAAAGTGACATCTATAAAGCCTAGTCAAAGTTCAAGGTTGTTAAAGTGTCACAAATGAGGGTCAGGTCATTGTGGTCTCCTGTGGCAGCTATATGGTACAGAGAACAGATTGCGACTTGAGATGTTATCAGTCCCAAGTGTTCTTGGGGGGTTTTGACTGTATTCCAAACCGATTGTATCATAATATATTTCTAACTTTGACGTGAAAGAGCAACTTACATGTAAAGCTAGCATTTTTAAGCATAATAGCCCCTACAAAATGTAGAAAATGGACATGTAACTCAAACATGACAAAAATACAGTAGAGTACTTACCACATTATACATGTAAGGCCACACTGATTTAATTTTATGGATGACATCCGCACGCACATTGAATTTCCCCAGTTCTCAATACAGTAAAACATTTTTTTTTAAAATCACCTCTTCCAAAGATCTGACTTGGGTGCCATCCTCCATAGTCCATGGTAGCTAGCGACAATAGGAAGCCCTCAAGAAACTCAGTACAGTGCCGCAAATTCTCAATACCAGCTTTGTATTCCTGCAGTTTAGCAGCATTTTTTGGCCGGATTTATTCGACTGCACGCACTAGTTTGGGGGTCTTCAGAGGATGTCATCCATAAAATTGAATTAGTGTGGCCTTACCATATACATATAAGGATACCACTTTTCTATTATCATATTACAAGTAATTCAATATATTAGATCACAATGATCATTGTCAATAAAACTGTTTTACACCCAGATGTCGTTGACATAATGGTGCTTTCAGAAGTGTGAATAGAAATGTGTGTAATGAATTGTTCTGACACCTGTGTTAGGCCAGGGGGAAGCCATGATATAGAACAGTCCAGGTAACTAAAGCCTTACAAAACTAATTACAGCATTCATCTGTCAAAGACAAGAGGCTGGTTGTTGTACATCCTACATTAGGGGCTACTGTAAATCACTTTATGTTCGCTGTAGCAAAAGTTTGCGGTCTGAGAAAAAGGATGTATTCGCAGAATTATATGTTCACAAGTGCAGCAAAATAGAAGTTCTCGAAATATTTCTTCATGGTAATGATACATTCGTGGTACAGAAACTGGGAATATAAATTTTAAAGTACAGTGAAAAAATAGTGATTTACAGTATGTGTGTCATCTGCTGAAATGTGGCAAATGTGGCTCTTTCCCCTCCAGAATTTTATCTGCCGAAATATATTATACATGTACATTAAAGTTATAAAATTTGAACGTGATGCTAGAAAGGTTGTTGCTGTCAACCTATATAATCCCAACATCCACCACTCACAAAAAGTTCTAAGATTAGAAGATATAACGTTACAATTGTCAATTCTTTTTCAGAAAAGTCGATCATGGATTCACCATACAAAGTATGAATGAATGGACGATAAAGATTTGTATGACAGAAATTCTACACAGGCAAACTTTTAAATAAGCAACAAGAGTTTCAAATGTTCCTCAAGTATAATATGAGCATTTTAAAAACTAAAAAGAACAACCTACCATTTTGGATGAAAGCTCCAGTAAGAATCATAAGTCTTGAACTGATTGCATCCATCATGACAGCAAACCATAACAAATTTGACAAAGAACAATCTGTCACACAGAGTCCAGGTCGCTATAAATTCCTGAGTCAGCAACCAGCAGCCAAACTTGTTTACCCAAGAGCTAAGATCTCTACAACCCCTGGAAAACTTTCTCGGGGTGGTTTGCTACCTTGGCTACATCCCATATGGCATGCAGCCTGTCCTGACAACAGCAGGCAGGAATGCCGGGATCAGGGATGGGGCACAAATCAATTTACGACCAATCTGGTCCCTCACAATCCCTCAAGGATGGAGGGCCAACTTGGAGGAGCTCAGGCCACACCAATTTTACTTGTTGGTTCTCTGATTCGCCTCTTCAGTTTTTTCTGATTTGCAAAAAAAAAAAAAAAGATTCTGGTTCTGAATCAACTCAAATATGCTCATATTTTGCCCCCAACGGCTGAGGAAAGTCCTTTTCTTCCTAGTTGTTACAGTTTTTCCATCTATCAATGCAGTGGTTTGATTAAAAGTTCCAAATTCATTGCTTAAATATTAACCCAGCCTTTTGTGTTGACTTCATGGCTCCTATCGTAGCACTTGGGGCTATAATTAAAAGGATGCCTAGACCTGTTTTTATCTTTTTTTTTCGCCCTGTCGCTTCATATTTTTTCTGAAAAAATCCGAGAACCAACAAATTAAATTGGTGTGGCCTCATGTAGGTTTCACCAAATCAGGGTTCTTACCAGGTTCAGCAACTATGCTAAAATAACCAAGTGAGAACTATGCCTAAACCAGTCAAATTTTACATGGCTTCATTATGTATGTGCCTTCAAACGGAGAAGAATCTTGCATAAATTTCTTGGGAGCTGAGAGAGAAGATAAGGTTTACAGTAAGGTCTGACATAAACTTTAATAGGTGCCATCCGCTGAAGAACCTGGAGATCTAAATCTGATGCAGGTGTGAAAAATGGGAGCCACTTTTTCCATTGGAAATCTGACCACATTTTCATCAGTTTAACGATGATAGAATCATTGTGTTGCATAGACAGGCAGTAACAGTCTATGAGACTTTCTGACTGAGATGTATATTCACTTTGTCCAGAAGAAAATCATTTGGTGAAAAAAAAATCAAATATAAAACATTTATGCAGGTTCATACATTTGCAACAGATTTGCTTATGTTACAAGTGTGTTACTGTTAGGTGGATTTCTACATGAAGATTGATTTTATTACTTATATGTGTCTATTCATTTACAGTTAACACCATCACAAAGACTAAAATATCCCAAATGCACCATTATACTACCAGTATCCCCAGCAAAAAAGTCGTTAACAGGCACACATCAACACCATTTCCACTGACTGTAAACTGGAATCGATTAGCAACAAAAGTATTTTAAGACTATTAAACCACAGACAGTGATGGGCAGTGAGTGGTGGATTCCCAGCATGCTGCAGTGACACCCCATTCATCTCCAATGACAGATCCAGCAGGGCCACATGCACCTGAGGCCTGGGGAAAAAATGTTGTGTTTCCTGTTTCACTCCTGAAAAAATTAGGGTCAGTTGGTAGGGATGACCTTTTCTTTTTTTTTAGACTTTGGTAAACTTGTACAATATACAGTTTAACAAAGTAAAACTTGCACGAGGACACTTTTATTTTCAATGTCAATGTTAGAAAACCGATTGTACAATGTTTTATCACTCAGGTGTCAGATCATGGAGCTAGAAAAGGTCGATCAGCTCGAAAAATTAATGTCCCTTGCAAGGGTCAATCCCCAAAAAAAGTCTAGGGTCAGCAGGTTTTTCTAGGGTCCGTCGGGAAACAGGAAACATAACATTTTTTTCTTGGCCTGAGAACTTTCAAGAGGGCCTGCATGCCCTTTTCCATAAGGCGTAATCAGGCATTTTTGGTCTTCGGAAACCGTGATCAGTACATTAGCTGTAACGTGTAATGGTTAGAAATCAGCTCTGACAATTTAACGCAATTCGTAATCGGCGGCGAAAATTTTGCGAAATTCGTAATCCCCCCCACCCTCCCCCCCATGCAGGCCCTGTTTTAAAGGCATCCGATGCAATTTCTAGGTGGCAAAACAAAAATATTCTGAATGACAAAATTTGTCTGTCTTTTTTAGCACACTATTGTCATCATTTCAGACTTGAAGACTTTTGAAAGAATCCAAAAACAAGCTATGTGAGGAGTCCCTTTGTTTTATGGTACCACCAATAAATAGCTAGAGCCAGTTTATACGTTATACACGTACAAAACAAGCAAGCCTTTTCCATCAGCAACATCACATTTTTACTGATTCGACATACTAGAGTCAATTCCGCGTCACCGAGTGGGTTGTTATTGTCATTACTTAGAAATGTTTTGAATTCTTTGTAATTGTTTGTCTAAGAAATTTCATAATTTGGAAATATTTTGAACATCTTGTCAATATTCTAAATAATTCCCTGGTTTTCTAAAACGTTTGAAATATTCCTGATGTGGATTATGACATTTCCAATAGTTTCTAAATATTTCTAACAGCACTCTACCATTTTTTTACCATTATTTCGAATTATTTCTAACATTTTGTAAATAGGTCAGTGGGATGGGAAGGAAGTAATTCACACATCCCTGTGGAGTACAGGGTAGACTGCCTGGGTGTCAGGCATTGATGCCTTACAACAAAAGAGCCACCAGTGTCCAGCAGTGAAATCTAAAAATATACAGAGGAAGACAGAAGAGTAGGATTAGCACCTACTTTTATGGGGGCAATTACCCACATCTACCATTTGGTTATTTGTTTGAAATAGTTCTAAATATTTCGAATTGTGAAAGAAACACATGGGTAGTTCAAATTTATTCTAAAGAAAGAGATCTTTGTACAGTCACATTCAAAATGTTTCAGAAATATATAAATGAATTCAAATATATTCAAATTTTCATTTTCAAATTTTTGAAAAATTTAGAACTTTTGTTACTGGGGTATTCTTTTCTTCTAAATAATTCAAACGTATTAGAAACATGGAGAAAAAACCCACTCGGTGACGCGGAATGGACTCTACTAAAAAATGACCATAAAATTGACTTTGAAAATCCAGATTTGCCACACTGAAATTGCATATTGGATGCCTTTACAAGCTTTGAATCTCCCTTAGCTAATGTTGTTGTTTTGCTATCTGCCAGACCTTAACCTTAGGGTTGCTCATTTTGGTGGAAGCAATTATTAAATTGGTTGGGAGACAGAATCATGTAACCTATAATCACGGCATTCCAGTTGACCGGAGATCGACAATCCCTACATGCCATACAACCTGTACCTGCCAGATCATCCAACAAAACAACAAGACACAGTGCAGTGCATAGCTGGGAGTGTGGGGATACAACTTTTGCTAAATCTAGAAATCTGCTAAGAAAAAAATCACAGATGAGCCGCAGTAGATTTTCTTCTAGTCTGGATGCCAGACTGTTTTTCAGGGCTTACACTGTGAGGCCAGCTCCTTAGCTCTGGGGCTGACATGCCCCCTTAGGAAATTTTGCCACACCCTCCACTGAGTTTTTGACCAAAAAAACTTCCTGGTGGGAGGGGGCATGTTGTCCCTGGAGCCAAAAACCATCAGTACTGAAAATTTACTGATCAACTACTAACAGTAAAATGTCAGTAAATTTTCCTGAATCAACTACTGATCAACTGCTGATCAATTACTGACAGTAAAATTTCAGTAAATTTTCAGTTAATTGTCTTCTACTGTTTTACTGAAGCATTACTTAAGGAAGTACTGACACCTCTATTTACTGTTCTTTTACTGTCATTACAGTCAAGATTGTGGGACCCAGCCTTTTCCGTAAACCCTCAAGTCTGTAGGCCCTGGAAACCAGGCACAGAATTAATTTTTTTTCTATCATCATGGCAAACCCATGCCCACTGCTATTAGCAATTCAACCTGATCTAATCTTGTCACATGCCAACTATGTCTTTCATGATGGCTTTAATCCGTGTAGAATTTGGTTGCACATTCAAGTATATTTATAACTACGTGTAAACACAGGGATTTACCCACATGGTGGTGCATATAACATTTCAGTAGAAAGATCTTATACCGTAACTTGTTAAAGATCTGCTGTGGTTTTATGGATTTTCTATTGAGTCAAACTCAATTGCAACAATTTAAACCGTTAAAGCGCATTCTGTCTTGCATTACAATATGATCGTTGTTTCAGCCACAGGGCTCGAAATTCATTTTTAGGAATAGGTGCACTGGTGCACCCAACCTACAAAATTGGGTGCACAAAAAATATTTTGAGTGCACCAATATATAATTACAAAATGTATAATATAAAAAAATATAAGGATAGAATGTCAGCAAAGACTAATTATGTTTCATTTCTAAGGAAAAGTGCTATAGCAATGATTTTTATTTTTCTGACACTTGGATGTTCAGAATATGCTGTATACTACTATTCATTTGACATCTGTACATACGTAAACCTGTGAAATTTACGGGTGCACTGGTGCACCCACAGAAAAAAAATTAGGTGCACAGCTCCACATTTGGGTGCACTAAGGTGCACATGCACCTAGTATTTCGAGCCCTGCTCTTGCATTACATTTACAATACTGAGGGCCTGCAAGGGGGGCTCTACGCTGAATTCGGCAACCTCTCCATGACGATTTATGATAAATTCCAAGTGGCTACAACGCATTACGTAGAATTAAAACGCCGAATATGCTCTACACAAAAATACTAGAGCAGTCCGTCTACGCTCTACGTAGAATTAAAGCGGCCGATTATGCTCTACGGAAAAGGGCTTGTGGGCCCCCAATACTACGACCGTTGTTTCAACCACAAACTCAAACACGCTGCGAACCTTTGCCTTTTCATCCTCCCACAAAATTTCAGCATACTTACACTTTTCCTCCCCACCCCAGCTAGCTACCAGACTACTTGCTGACCCTTGGGGCAATTCCTCAATCAATCAATCAGCCCATCAAGTTTACAGTCACACCCAAAGTCTTTCTAATCCTGTCTTCTATCCTCTAACTAGATCAGACACCGCATCTTAAAGAAAGCTCCAACTGACCCTGAGCTATCTAAAACCCAAGCTCTTAAATTCCTCTTTAATGAGTGTTTCCCTACAAGAATTTTACTGGCCGCTGGCCCTTCTTAAGTTGCAGATGTCTAGAATTGTCCTCCAGAAGGACAAGGTGATTTATGGGCTGACCTAGTTCTGACTGGCATGGCTGCCCTCCTGAAACATTAGCCCCAGCTGGGAG